TCTCTTGCTTCTGAACTTTTGCCAAGAAAAGCCTTTGGCAGTGTGCCAAAGAAGACAAAGATTGGTGATAAGGCCAAAGGACTGTTTATGAATAATTTGTTTTGGACTTAATTGGGACTAAGCTGAGAATGAAGTAATTCTCAGCTGTTCCAATAAAATATGTTTGTTTAGGACTGATTGTGCCTGGTAATAACCATTTGGGCCTAGGTCACAACAATTGGTGTCAAGGGGAAAAAATATCTATTAGCCCTATATCTTTCTTCATATTTATACAATGATATTGTCAGATGTAAATGCCTTATTCCCTAATGTGTAAATAATTTAAAAGCTTCATTGTATTTTTCTTGGAAAGCTACCTTCCTAAAAGATTTGTGTTCTGTGTGATTGCTAGAACGATTTTTTCTTGAATTGTCTTCTGCTATCAATTTGTTAGATAGACACCATCAATCTAGGATATTTATCCATAGAGAGTCTATCTAACAAATTGATAGCAGAAGACAATTCAAGAAAAAATCGTTCTAGCAATCACACAGAACACAAATCTTTTAGGAAGGTAGCTTTCCAAGAAAAATACAATGAAGCTTTTAAATGCCACAATTGTGGGTCCAGGGAACACAATAGAAGAGACTGTCCCAAAATATCAAAGGAGAGACATAGGCCAGAATATAGAAGCAGATACAATTATAGACAGTCTTCCACAGATAGATATAAATATAGAAGCCCACCAAATTACAGAGAAAGTAGAGGGGGTAGAGAAAATTCAAAAGAGAGAAAATCTGGTTCACTGAATGGACTAAATAAACAAAACAGCACTAAAACACAACAAAATGAGAACAATAATTGGCTTATCGATTCTGGGGCAACCAATCACACCACTAATAACAAAAATATTCTGTCTTCATTTACAGAAGATAAGTTTGTAATAAAGGTAGCTAATCAAGAAAAGGTTCAAGTATTAGGCAGAGGAAACATAACATTGCCTGGTCTAGGAAAAATAGAGGGGGTATTGTTAATTCCTGAAATACCTCATAACATACTAAGTGTCATAAAACTAAGTAGAGATTCTGACATCAATGTAGTTTTCTCAAAGGGGAAAGCAACTTTAGAGAAGGACAAAACAAATGTAGGCACTGTGATGATTAAAGGAGGCCTACCCTATCTGGTAACAAAAGAAAGATGGTTACATAACATTGATTCAAATATGGAAGATTGTATTGAGGCAGATGATGAAAATGTTAGTAACAGTGACAATGATGAATGTAAAATATCTCATGATCACACAAATACACACAAAGAGAAGAAACCAAGAATAGGTAAACCAATTCATGATGAGTGTGCTCACATCTTACATAGGAAGTTAGGACATGCAAGTTTTCCTGTAGTACAAAAAATGACTGAACACGCAGAAGGTGTCAAAATAAAAAATTGTGAAAATTATTTGGAATGCTCAGTATGTAAATCCACTAAACTAAAAACTAGTCCCAGGCCAAAAAAATCCAACAGATCAACTAACAAAATTTTTGACTTAGTACATATGGACTTAGTTGGTCCATTAACTCCATCAATCACTTATAGAAAACGTTACTTCCTAACAATAGTAGATGACTACAGTCGCTATGGTTTTGTTTACACATTAAAACACAAAGATGAAACCTTTCAGAAATTTAAGGAATTCTACAAACGCATAGAAACACAACATAATATCAGAATAAAACAAATTATGACAGATAGGGATGTGAATTCATGTCTAAAGAATTCTCCCAATGGTTAAAGGATAGAGGAATGCTACATTTCACGTCTAGTCCATTTTCTGCATTCCAAAACGGATTGCAGAGAGAAAGAATTCCACACTACAAACCATGATTAGGTGCACATTAGAGGATGCTGGTTTAGGCAAACAATTTTGGTCAGAAGCCTTACATTATTCAAATTACACTCAAAATAGAACCTGGTCCAGTATTGTGAATAAAACACCATATGAGGTGATGTATAATAGGAAACCCAAATTAGCACACATGCACATATTTGGAGTCACTGCAGACGTACACATACCTAAACAGTTGAGAAGAAAGGGAGAAAACGTATCCAGAAGATTAAGATTTATGGGATATGAAACTGGCACCAAAGGGTACAGATTCATTGATAATAGTAACAAATTTATAGTCTCCAGAACAGCTGTGTTCCATGAACAAGCCAATTGGTCTAAATTACATCTTAATGAAATATTTCCAGATAAATGCAAAGATACAAAATCTTGTGAGGGAGGAACAATAGAAAATCAAAATATCAACAAAAATACAAACAAAACCAAAACTTGGACAAATAGTCAGCACAAAATAAAGACAGACACATTAACAAAAAAGGAAGCAAGATATTTGCATGACAACCATAGCAAACCTGAAAGAGCTATTAGAAACAATAGAAATCAAATACCAGGTAAATACAGAGATTACATAATGCATATGGATGGTGAACAAATAACACCTAATACATATGAGGAAGTATTAAAACTCCCTTATGAAGAAAAGGAAAAATGGGAACTAGCTATGAAAAAAGAGATGGAAAGTTTGCAAGGATTAAATGTATTCACACCTGCGACTGCACCTAAAGATAAAACAATCATAGGTACTAGGTGGATTTATAAAATTAAGAATCTAGAAGGAGGCAATACTCTATACAAAGCCAGATTAGTTGCACAAGGTTATGCACAAAAGTATCCGGAGGACTATACTGACACATACTCCCCCACAGTGAGAACAGAGAGTGTTAAAACAGCTCTGGTAGTGGCATCTGCACTCAATCTTGATGTATTTCAATATGACATACAGATTGCGTACTTACACGCAAAACTAGATAAGGAAATATATGTAAGGGCACCACACAGTCAATACACTAATAAGAATGAAATCTGGCTATTGAACAAGAGTCTATACGGGTTAAAACAATCTGGCAAAAGATGGTATGATTGTTTGGTAAAAGTACTTAAGACCATGGATTTTAACGCTACCACCGCTGATTTTATTTATTCGCATTTCTATACCGCCCTTCTCCTTTCGGACTCTGATAACTGTTTCTTTGTAAAAAAAAGTGATGATCACATTGAATTCGTGTTAATTTATGTAGATGATATTTTATATATAGGAAAACACAAGGAGAGAAGAGAAACCTTTGTAAATAAGCTAAACGAACATTTTTCGTTGAAATCTCTAGGTAAAGTAAACAAATACCTTGGCGTACAAATTAACAAAACTAGAAGGGGATTCAAACTTACTCAGAAAGATAAGATTATTGAACTTCTAAACAAATGCAATTTAAACACTGCTAAACCATGTGACACTCCTATGCAAACTGATTTCCTTAGAAACACTGATGAGTCTTCCCTGAATTCAAAGATAATACATTTTATAGATCAGTCATAGGTTCGCTTCTTTATATATCTAATTGGACCAGGCCAGATATTGCATTACCTCTCAATTTATTGTCAAGACATGTTAGTAAACCAACTATGTATCATTGGGAAGCTGTCAAAAGAATTCTAAGATATCTAAAAAGTACATTAGACTTTTGTTTAATATTAGAACCTAGTAATGACAAAGAACCAAAACTTACTTGTTACGCAGATGCGGATTGGGCTGGAGATATATCATGCAGGAAGAGCACTTCTGGTTATATTTTTCTATTAAATAACTGTCCAGTTTACTGGTACACTGGTAAACAAGAACTGGTAGCCACTTCAACCACAGAAGCGGAATATGTTTGTTTATCCAAAGCTGCAAATAACCTTGTATGGTTTAATGATTTGATTTCAGATGTCTGGAAAAAACCTGCTTTACCTTTTGTTATGCATGAAGATAATAAAGCAGCCATTGAAATATCCAGATCCGATGCCATTGGACAAAGATCCAGGCATATAGATATAAAGTTTAAACATGTGAGACAATTGTCTCAAGATGGATTTATCAAAGCAGTGCATTGTGATACCTCTGAACAATTAGCTGACATATTAACGAAGCCTTTACCTTCTAAACAGCACAAATATTTAACTTCAAAATTATATGTCTTATATTGTCCTGAATCTGAATGTAATTGGTGTTGTATAGCGAACCGGCATTTAGAGGGGGATTTGTCAGATGTAAATGCCTTATTCCCTAATGTGTAAATAATGTATATATGGGATATCGGGGGTTAACTTATTCTTTGTTTCCTAATGTATTCATAATTCACCACTCCCATTCTTGACTCCGCCCTTTGTATATATAAGGAGCCACCCTCACCATTTTCCTTGCTTCTATCTGTGAATATTCAGTGAATATAGAATGCCTGTTATGATTAAAGAGAAATATATTTAAACCTCTAATCTTTATTATCATTATTGAGTCTGATCCTAAAAATATTGCAACAGATATAATTCAAAAATATTCAGTGTCCTCAACCTTGAGTGGCACCAAACTCCATGGTTCTGGGTGACCTTACTCAGCAGTCTCTGGAGAAAAGAGTAATTTTTTAGACATATCCTGACAGGACAGATCAAAATTACCATGGAACTCTGCCCTCAGGGGTATACTGTACCTGTAATTTTTCACTAACATGCTGTACATCAGGAATAAATTCAGAATCCCCAGAGGAAAAGTAGCTTCTCACTGTAATTATCACCATCCTGCTCTTTGAGATGTCTCCTTCTACTTCTCTAGTGACTGCCTTTGATGTAATCATCAGACTGAAGCAGTGTGGAGGGCATCAGAAAAGGATAAATGCTTTCGGTCGCACTTTGTGTTATGTGAATTTTAGGACAGGCAGGGGCTATGCTGTTAAATATACTTTTCTCTCCTTTCCAGGTGAAGCCTGGTTTGTCTCTTAATTCTTCAGGGCTGTTAATTCTTCAACTCTTTTTGTTCTTGTTTAGAAACAGGAAGGGAATTGATTCAGCCCCATGAATTATGAACCTCCTACTTCTGCTTCTGATGTTACTGTTGCCCCAGCCAATGTCTGGGAAGCTTAGAATGAAATGTCCACTGACTCTAGAACACCAGGATGGAGAAAAACCATGGAGCTATTACAGACCAGGAGACCATCTCATTGCTGTTATCACCAGTGGAACAAAAATATCTCCTATAATGCTCCCTTTCAATGCAGCTCCTTCTAGTCAGTCTAACTCGTAAGTCATTCAGGATAATGGAGTTGCATTCCCTTCATTTATAATTCTAACACCTCATTTTTCTTCCTTATTCCACTTATTCCAGATGGATATGGCAGCACCTCTCCTGACTAATTTCCTGAATCATTTAGATTTCCATGCTTTCTTTGTCTTATTTTGAGGAACAGATTCAAATCCAAAGATGGAACAGAAAAATAATATGAAACAAGTCCACATTATTTTCCTCTCCCTGTTCAATCTTGAATTCATGACTTGAATACTGACTTTTGTTTAAATTAGTGATTCTTGTATATTTCTCCTGCCCAGCTCAGTTCAAATACAACTACTCATTGATATTTACTTCCAGATCCTTATAGAAATACAGGATAACTTATTTTTAGAATTGTTTTCTGGGTCACTTTTGAAGCATCCTCTTCCTTTTATGGCAGTTCTACTGTAATTATTCAATTATTTTGAACACTGATTATTGGGCAGATGAAAATTAGTACTGCCCCAAAGAATAGTGTATTTGCGATTCTTATCCCATGTGGAGGACTGTATCAATTCCATCTTCCCAATGTTCATTAAAATTGAATGGAGTTGGGTGAGTATCATTTGTCTCTGGGTTTGGAGTCAGTAATGGCTTAAGATTCTGTAGGCTTCAAAAGAGAAAGTGGTTTAGATTGAAAAGAAGTATATTGTTGGTTCTGTTGATGATAATGACATGATCATATTTACAGCTGTTTGTTCATTTTTACAAGAGTTTTATTATATATTTTGCTATTCATGATGATTGCAATGGTGATGATAAAAATGAACCTTCTTTTACAGTAGCATATCTTCTGATCGGTCTATAATCCTACGCTTTATTTTCGCTATTCAAGTGGTCAATAAGAATTTCCAGCTCCTGCAAAATCTCACACTTGGCTACGACATCCATGACAACTATATGAACACTATTGGCACTTCAGATGCCTTGCTGGACATGCTCTCCAGTGGAGAAGCCAATGTTCCCAACTACAGCTGTGGAAGGAAGGACCACCTTTTGGCTGTTGTTGATGCAGCTGTCAGGGACATCTCCATCCAGATGTCAACATTAGCAGACACCTACAAAGTCCCACAGGTTTGTGTGTGTGCCTTTCTATCTAGTAAAAAGAGTGAATTGGTATGTTGGGTAAGCAATAAATTCAACCATATCCATTCTAGGGCATTCAAGAGTTGCTTTCCTCTGTGGCCAGTGTAGGTATATTGTCTAGTGATGGATGGGATTGATACTGGGGAGGGGAAAAGCAGCAAAGCAGCCTTATCATCTCATGACACCATCCCCGTTGCTTTGGGCGCTTCTACTGCACACCTGTGAAAATAAGGAGAAGGTCAAAATCCTTATATTAAAACAACATATAACCTTTGTGGACAGAATTTAAAAATCTGGCATAAAATATGGCTCTTTATTTGAAGAAATCAATTCAGTTGAATCTGCAAATGTGGGTCTGATTTCAGAAAAAAAGGGAGTAATCAAGAAATATCATTTGCATTCTTTATTCTGATTGTTTTTTTAATTACTTCCTTTCTTTTCTTGTATTTTTTATCTGGTCTTGCTAATATTCTGTCTGTAATATTAGCTAATCAGGAATACAATATTCTAATACCTTGATGAGGAAAAAGTTGCATTTATTGAAAGAATGACGGCATTGTTCATTGCTTTTACAGATCACTTATAACATTGTTTCAGCGGCTCTGAGTGATAAAAGTCAATTCTCATTTTTTTACCGGATGCTCCCCAAAGAAGGGATCCACTACCCAGGAATTGTCCAACTGCTCCTCCATTTCAGATGGACCTTGATAGGTCTCTTTGCTTCAGACACAGAGAAGGGAGAGAGTTCCATGAGGACTTTGAGTCCTATGCTGGTCAGGAATGGAATTTGTGCTGTTATATCAGAACAAATTTCACCCGCTGGACATACAGCACCCCTCAGGGTTGCCATTTCCAAGTGGAGACAAGTCAATGTCTTTGTTCACATCGTAGAATATTTTTCTGTTTGGGACAGAATTCATCTTTTCCATTCAACACTTAAAAGTTTGCCAAAACCCATTGAAGGGAAAGTCTGGATAATTGCAGTCCTTGGGGAAAGGCAAATAAAAAGACACATATTCCTGAAATATATCCATAGTGTTTGGATCTACAGTTTCCAGTTGAAAAAAAGGCCAAAGGACAGTTCCTTTGAACCAGATCTCTTTGTGCAACCACAGTTCGGAGATCAATCTTTTCTCTGTTCTTTTTCAGAAGACATCATTTCTGTCAAAGGCCGGAGAAGATGCACTCAGAAATCTCCACTGAAGACCAAAGTGGAAAGAAATTGGCTCTTGTACCTAGGTAACTACCATGTTTACGCTTTGATTAATACTCTGGCCCATGCCTTGAATGCTGCGTATTCCTCCATATCCAAGAGGAGAAGAAAAGAGGGAGAAGAGAAGCTGGGAACTCAAAGGCTGCAGCCATGGCAGGTATGGGGTCCCGACAAAGATCCATCAAAGTTACTTTCTTTGGATAAGGAATACAACTCCTTTGTATTCCTTAGGAATACAAAGGAAAAGGAAACTATCTCAACCTTTTTGTGCTTCAAAAGGCCAACAAGTTTGGTCCATCTAATCACTTGTGGATAATTTTCCAAAGACATTTATATTTTGATCTTAAACAGTTAATTTTATAAAATATGTATGCATTTGAAGTAAATTCCTATCTTTATGAATTTGTGATTAGCATTTTAGAATTGTATGTTCATACATTTGAAGGAGACCCCAGCACCGTTATGGCGAACCTATGGCACGCGTGTCAGAGGTGGCACTCAGAGCCCTCTCTGCAGGCATGCACACTGTTGGCAGTTGCTCTTCGGGTTTCTGGTGCACAGCTAGTCTTCGTGCATTCCAGAAACCCCAATACCAGCTGGCCAGTGCACATGTGCTTGGTGGAAACCCGAAAACCAGGTGGTCGCCGCTTGTGTATGCCGGCCAGCTGGTCTTCGGGTTTCTAGAGCGGTGGCACATGCTCTGATTTGGGCACTTGGTGCCAAAAAGGTTCACCATCACTGATACAGCAGGAATCCCAGTTAAATCTTCTCTAAGTGATGGCTGTTTTGCATTAAAACAATCAGTGAAGGGGAAAGTTCTCTGGTTCATGGGATCAGCTGTAAAATTCTTCCTCCTTTTAGGGTGGTTTTCATTCAGCCAGAATCTCTCCTTGTTTTCAAGGGCTTTATCAATTATCTTTTCATTTGTTTGTTCAATTTATTTGTGATCCAGTCTAGAATGCTCCCTATACCCTACCAATTTCATCAATTATTTATTTTTTCAATATTTATATGATTGACAAATTTTGCTGAACCTTTCTTTTCCCCTTTTGAGGACAGTGATAACACTCGTTGTCCCAACTCAAGTGAGACAACTGTAGCAGAAAGACTCAAATCTGAAAATACAACAACAACATCATGGGATAGAAAAACCAAGGTTTCTGCTTTTAACATTCCTGGATATTTCTCTTCTAGTTCCATCCATTTCTGAAGAAGAATGAGTTTTGCAATCTTTCCCACATGAAACTGTACTTGGACCAAAATGGGGATGTGACAGCAGATCTGAACATCGTAAGCTTTATAGTTCAGTCCAGGGAGGATCCCGTTAGAAAGCAAGTGGGGAGTTTTGAAAGACAGAGACTTATTATCAATCCAGATGCTCTTTCACAGCTAAGGTTGCTCAATAAGGTGGGTGAAACATTGGTGTCTTTTCTCTGTTTTCCAAAGCCTTGAGAGACTTTTCAAGTGGCTAAGCTATGCACCAATACAGTGAAAATTGAATGTGGGGAATAGAACCCTTATAATTTTCTTAAAAGGCTTGGGACGCTTC